AGGGCATTGTACATTTGCAAGCTGAATACAAGCATTGATTGATTGAATTTCCTATATACCTAACAATTATTTAGACTATTCTATACTTGAGCTTTGGGTTAACATAATATATAAATCAACAAACTGATGAGCATTTGATTCAAATACTTGACAACAAATTTCTAAATTAAATTACCGTGCCAATCTCAATTGAAGTATATATAAGCAAGCTTTTCAGTCTTTATTGAAAAACAATATTGCCACAGCAGTCACTCTAACAAAGTTAAATAGATAAAAGATGCTTCAGCAAAGAGCTACAGCTTTACATTAGTGTAAAGCACCCCCATTTCTCCAGGTTTTTTGTTGCATCAACATAAAACAATTGTTAAAACACAGTCAGACTTGGTAAATTCCCAGATTTACCAACCTTCAGTATTCTCAGCTCAAGCTTCGTAATTTCTCGACCATTCATGTACACCTCAGTATTCCCATTGCTCGCACTCGGGCTTAGTTTACCCGTAAAATTCAAATTCGAACTAATAATTCTATCAGGCTTCTCTCCCTCCTGTCAAATTGAACACACCACAAACTGAATGACCACATTTTCCCTCACTTATTTAAAAAACAATAAATGAAAAAAAAAATTGAGTATACAAAAAATCTGTTATTTTTACCGTTCCCCAAAGACCTGATTCCTTATCATACCAATACGTGCCTAGCTTCAACTTCCTAGGCGGCAAAGGGCACTCGAAAAGCTCCGCCATCTCCTCCGTCTTCAAAGGATACCCGTTCACAATCAACTGCTCCGGCAGGAGCTGATTGGCCGCACACTCCTTCTCGGCCTTCATGATATGCATAACCTCCAATGGGCTAAGCAAACGAGACAAAATCCTCGAGTGCTTACCCAATATGCACCTCTTCACCTCGTCAATCGGCTCCCCTATACACGTCACGCACTTACGTCCTTCGGGCATTGAGCCCATGGCCCGGAGCACACAGTTGCTGCAATATTTCTTTAATCTCCCACTTCCCTTTCCCGCACCTATAGCAAACCCTCGCCTTTTTCCTCTTTTTCTTCTTCTTCTTCTTCTTCTCCTTGGCTAAGCCCACCACAAATTAAGGGAAAACCTGCTTTTCCCTATCGGCCAATTGCCGCTCAGACCTACCAGCCGTGTTGAAAGTCACCACCATAGGCTGCCTTGCCTCGTTTGGAGGGAGTGGCTCGTCTTGCCAGCTGTTGACCGAGCCCAGCGAGCCCGAGCCCGAGCCCGATCATGAAGAGAAATCATCGTTCTGCAAAATGGACACAACTGACTCGGTGCTCTGGGACAGTCTTCTTCTAGGGAGGGGGATAGGCTCGATCACAGGGGCCGAGTCGCGGGCCACGGATCGTCTGGACTCCGAAAGAGGGTCGGCAGTTGGGATTGGGCCGGGTTCAAGTCGAGGGCTCGGCCTGTGGGATGTTGTCGTAAGGTACCGGAGGCCCATTGTACTCGAGGGCTATCGAGTAGTCCATTTTGTCGTCGTCCGGGATAGGGGCACCTGGTGGGAGCATCTTCGTGACCATATCCCTCCAGTTATCTGCCTCGTTATTCTCCATTTTTTTTGCTAGGAGGAAGATATTTCTTTTACCGACGATGAAGCTTCTACGCCATGGCTAGATTTGGAAGCCTTCAAATCTGAAATAATTCGATCAAGTGCAGAATCTTGGAGTTTTTTTTTTTAAAAGACCCAGAGAAATAAACCGTCCGAGCGTGGACTTTTCAGCTAGAAAGGATTCAAACATCTCTCAGGTCGCATAAAAAACGCACAGAGGCAAAAGGGCAGACAAAAATCGAGAAACTTTCGAGTCAAAAATGGTAAACTTGTGAAAAGAAAGCTTTCAAGATTCTGAAAGTTGAAAAACTCAGAGCACGAATTCGAATAAAATACTAGAGTTTTTTGTTAACCTCGACTTTCGAAGCCAACTTCCTCACATGACCCGTAAATTCTACAAGTTTAACCAGAAAGCCAAGAACTTTTGTCACTCGGCAGCAGCCCATAAAGAATTAAAATAATCAAAGTAAACAATTTTCACCATTATTTTCCCTTTTAAAATTGATGTCAAACCTTGCATCTATATTAGGAAATCTCTTTAAATTGTAATGGGCAGACAGCAAAATTGCAAACCTTTTATAACTTTTTGATAAAGATGCTGCAAAAGAAATGTGTGTAAGGTTGAAAAATGAAGACCTTTAATGAGCACACACTGTAGCTGAGAAAAAAGGACAAAGGGCAGGCAAATTAACAATGGGTGAGTGAATAAAAAATCACTAGCTTTACAGAAAAAAGCTTTGCTTTTTAAAAGCTCCAAAGCTCTGCTGTGAGCTCTCGACACTACCAAAAGGGGTAACGATAAGTCTCATGACTCTACACTCCCCTTTTGTAAAATAGTATATAAATTATACGGTAAATTACATTCAGTGATTATAAACTGTATCTTGCATTTACATACACATGTTTTGTATGCATATATATGTAAACTTGAGTTAATATGTCAAATAATCGTTGAAATCACCA